CGGTGCGGGAGGTGGCGGCGGGGGGCCTGGAGGTGCCGCGGGCTCCCGGCCTCAGTGCTGCCTCGGCCCGCGAGCGCCCCAATGAACCGGCACGCGTCCAGCGGGACAGCGGGGCCCTCGGAAACCAGCCGCCGCGAGTGTGGGGCTGGCGAGGGACGGGCTTCTGGGAAGTGGTCCTTGGCTGAGCTCAGGTGGCTTTTTGGCCTGGAGGGTCCATGCCGCTTCTGGAGAGCATTTGGTTTCCCCTCGCACGCTTGACCCCGGGAAGCAGTTTGATAATATCTTGCTGGAGCTCTTGATCTTGGATTAACAGAAAGCTGGGGAATGCCTCTGCGGGATCGTGTCCAGGGCTGCGGGACGGCGGGATCAGGCTCTCCTGAACCGCAGGACTCCCCGCGAGCTCCCTTGGCACAAGGGCTTGGCAGTAGAGTGGAGTGGAGCATCTCCTTGATGTGGGATGGGGAGTTGCTGCCCAGCCCGTCTCAGCTCCCGGGCTTTCCTGCCCAGCCTGCCGGCCTGGTGACCCGCTCATGCAAGTCAGGGCGTGCAGCCACACTTGTGCGCGGAGACGGCGGATGGCACTGCAGAGGTGCCTCCGCATGGATGGGCCCTCGGCCACCAGCAGCAGAAACGCGGCCCAACGGCAAGAGCACGCCACAGGGGAGGCAGAAAATGATCTGCAGTGAGGTGCGGGACGCAACCTGGCCCGAAACGGGGCTGGGCTCTGGAGTCCTGCATTTTCGTTGCTCCACGGGGCAGCCCCGCGCCGCGGCGGACGGAGGACGCCGGCTCTGCTCTGTTACTTTCCTCGCCGATCCCGTCATCTCCATCTTGCGCTGGAGTGGTGATGTCGTCATGGCAACGGGTACAGCTGCAGTCGTGCTGTGCACCTCCCGTGCCAGCTACTCTGGTAATCTCCGTATAGCGGGGAAGCGCTCGCCGGTGTTACGGCAATCAGCCACCTGTAACGGGGAGAGGAGCTGGGCCCGCCGGCCCGGCTGGGAGGGAGGGTGGCGGGGCTTGCTCCCGCGCCCCTCAGCGACTTATCTGCTGTTTTAGTCCTGCGGGGCCTCAGTTTCCTTATCGGCTCCGAGGAGTAACGCCGTCCCTGCCCACGCGCGCACGCACACGCTCGCTTTCTTGGAGTTGTAGCAGGGCCTAATCCATTAGCATTTGCCAGCCCC